GCGGATTGTGCACAGCGTTAAGCAGCTCAATGTATGGAATCGGCGTATTCGAATCCTCCTCATCAACTGACTCGGTTGGGTCGTTCCAGCAGCGATAGCATGTCATTGAAATGCCGTAGGGCGGTGCTTGTCTGGGCTGCTCCGTCTCTACAAATGGCTCAGGCTCGGGTTCGGGCTTTACGTCTTTGAAGGGCGCCAGATAGGTGAAGAGATGCGGCCAACCACGTTGCTTATATTCACACTTACAACGGCATTCGGGTTCTTCCTCTTCCATCTCTTCTTCTGGCAGCTCTTCCTCCTCCTGCTTCTCTACCCTAGGAAAGTCGCGGAACGGCGCCAGCCAGCAATAATCCGTATCGTGATCTTCCAGTCCAGAGGCTGATAATTTCTCGCCATGTGCCTCCTCCTCGTAGTCATCGTATGCTGGCCGGCACTGGCAAATTTGGCAGGTGCAAGTGCATTCATCGTCGCAGGATCGCCCGTCACTCTCACAGGGCGGACAAATCTCGTCCATGGATGGGCAGGGCACATAGTGCTTGGGCAAGGTCTCCTCCTCTTCGTTGAAGGCCACCCAGCGACACACGTACGGGCCTTGGCTACACTCGGCGGTTATCACTGGCGCCAGCCGATCCGCATAGCACTGCATCTCGGGACAGTTGCATTTGGTGTCCCTCTTTTTCTTTTTCTTCTTGACACGTTTGCTAGCACTGGACTTCACCGACTGATTGGAGCTAATGATCTTCTGGGATGATTGCTCGAGTTTGGTAACCATCTGTTCCATGGATATCATCGTGTATTCCATGCGTATGGAGATGGGCGAGGTGGGCTTGCTGAGATTAAAGGTTTGCTTGTTGAAAAACAGCTCCATCGTCTTGACAGTGGAAGCGCTCATGTTTGTGGCGGCGGATACGGTGTCCCAACCTTTGTTTAGTTTTTTTTCCGATTGCGTCTGAATGGGTTGTCCGCAGACGCAGCCGCGCATATCGGCATCCTCGTTGACAATGCGGGACTTCAGCTCTTCGTACAGCGCTTTGTAAATGCACTCGATGCACTCCTCGTACTGTCGCTCCTCCGAGTACATGAGACCCACATGAACCGCAAAAATCTGCGCCGTCCGCTTGGCCGCATGCAACCAGAGGCACTCGGAACGATGTCGCAGCTGTTTGGACAACGCCTCCATGCGCTTGCCACCCTCCCCGGAGCCGTGGTAATACGCCCGGAAGGCGCGCTTGACTATGCCATAAGCCAGCTGGCTGTCCATGCGACTCATGCCCGCTTCTACGGCCAGATCGTGCATTAAGTTCTCTTTGTTGAAGCGTTTATTGGGCACCCGATCCATCCTGTAGCGCACCTCCTCGTAGTGGCGAAAGGCGCGCTTGATTAGCTCCTTACTGCGCTTCACCTCCCACGGGCGCAGCCGGCAGATATTCATGACCTTCATCAGGCTATTGGCGATGTCCTCGAGGTCGAGGTCAAAGTACTCACTTTTCTTGGACTTATCCACCTGTCCACAGTTCTTAACATCGGGGCGCCAGCATTCGCAACCCTTATTCTTTATTTGGTCAATTGATTGGTTCCCAAAGAACAGCGACGAGAGCATTTTGGCCATAATTTCATAGAAACTTGGTAATTTGTTATATTCAATTTGGTAAGCGGGCGAAAATTTTAATCGATTGCTTTCGATTGCTTATTCAAAACAGAAAATATATATTGTAAAATAAAAAAGGTGTTCTAAACATATAAACATTTTGGTTAGATGAGACTTCGATTAATTTGATAATAATTAAAAATAAAATTACAAATAGAGCGAAATTACATAGAGCGAGAGAGAGAGCTTGAACCAGTTGACCAAAAATATTGCAAAGTTTAAACTGTCTGAGGAACAGGAAGCTATTTGTCTGTTTTTATTTTTAATTATTTTTTTTTTGTCAATATGAAATATAAAATTAAATATGCGTTATAGGAAACAGCCAGACTTATTGGAGAGTTATATCTGAACAAGTATTTCATGAGTTTTGCCAACTCTCTCCAATACGTCAGGCTGTTTCCTATCAAAGGCAACAAAAAAGAAGTTTCCACCTGTTGCCCGCTGCACGACGCGCAATTCAAGTTGGGAGTAAGCCAAGCAACTTGTCACTTCCTGAATGACGTCTGTCAGAGATTTGACTGGGAAGTGCATTGCTGACATGCTGCTGTTGGGAATGTTTTATTCGTGGCAGACATACAGAAATTCATATTTATCATACAGGCCAAAGAAGGGGAGAGAGAGGGTCTGCTGGCTCGCAGGCTGGCGGTTGTTGCAACATGCAACCAAATGCACAAAGCCCGCAGCAGCGACTGTGGCACGCATCATTTCGATATTTGTTTACCCAACAATTTGCTGTGCGTTCTCTTCTCCCCCCTGCCCCGCTCCTACCTCGACTCCCTCACTGTTTGCTTTGACATAGGACAGTAGCGTGGGGCGTGGCGCATGCGATGGCTGCGAGCGCCGCCTGATTTACTACTGTTAATTCGAAATACTTTTGTGATGCACTGCAAAGCGGAAATGCAATGCGACACAGACTTACAAACATAAATGCAAACATACACGCACACACACATACACACAGAGTGCACTTATTTTAACAGGCAACTGCGCAAAAACAACAAACAACAAATGTTGTGCAGCTCTACAAATTTCTATATACTAGTCAAAAACTTGAAACAACATGAAAACTAATAACAAATTCGTATGCAGCTAGACGAAGCTAGAATACGCTTCACATGAGTATAAACATTATTTTAATTATTAAATAAAATATATAAAATAACAAAACAAAGAAAATGATTAAAAGTTCCTTTCGTTATAAATACTAGTCAGCATAAACAGTTCCATGATAAGGATTCTTAAAAATTTATTTATTATCTGTCGTAAGCATTTCATTTTGGTTTATTTAAATATATATTATACAAATATGTTAATAAATATTTATATTTAATTTAAATTAATTTAATTTTACAATCATTTATTTAATACGGAAATAATAATTCATGACAAACAATTATTAACAATTATTTCTTAAACAATTATTAACAAAAATACAAACTGGTAAGTTAAAAATATATAACTTATCATATATATATTATTTATTAGTATTATATATATTAAAGAATTATATTATATTTTCAATTATTATTAAAATATATTTTTTACTATTTAATATATTTATTTATATATGAAAGATTAAACTTTTGCCATAATTGACATAATTTTATATTAATTAAATTATATTCGATATTTACCCAAATAATTGGTACAACGTTTTTTTCGATCTTAAATGCGATCATCATGTCACAGTCGACAGACCCATTTGTAAGTTCTGTTAAAAACAGAATCAAAGTCTGCACAAATATTGTCAGGCGGTCATGACAAATATTTACATAGCCAGCGCGTGTGTAGGTAAAATTTTTGGTGCACTACCCCTCCCAAAAACAAGGAAAAAAAAAAAAACAAAATAGTAAAACTCCGGAAAATGCGGGCGCATTGACAGTGCGGGCGATTGATTTTTCCTGTGTTTTTGGTATATTTGTTAGCAGCCTCAGAGTCGAGTAACACGGGTTGGTTGGGGGCTGCGCGGAGCATTGGGCAAACTAAAATAAATGCAGTGCAGAGTGTGAGTAGGGAGGGGTGGGTTTTTGCTAAAGCTAACAGACAGTTTTAGTGCAACCCAGAAAAATGAGTTTAATTGTTGACCTTAGCTATTAGCCCCTGTCAAATGGCTTTGGTTGACAGCAATTTGCCTTTTACTTCGGTTTTGGGCTAGTTTGGTCTCTCGGCTCTGTGCCTTTTGTCTTTTGGACTCTGTCGTTCATTGTCCGCATGCATTGCTCTTTAATTTATATGCAAAAAAGCACAACGTGCCTTTTGCAAAAGTTTCTTAGTATTTCTTGATATATGTGGAATACATATTCAGTATGCTTTGGTATGCACGAACGGCGCTGACTGACAGGCCTGTATCAGAATCGGAGGCCCATTGCAGTCGGGCCACGTTTGATATTTGTTTATGTTGCAGCAGCAGCAAAAATTGTTATTGTTTTTCTTGTTTTTCTTTTCTGTACATTTTTTTGTTATTCTTCATTTTCAGTACATCTACACTCGTACATATGTCCGTACAACAGGGCCATGTGCTGTGCAAGTTGATGATTATTGCCTTTTGGGCAGTTTCATTGTGAAATGCGTCGAAATGTGCAGTACCGAGCTATAAATGTTACATAAAACAAAAGTAAATTGACTTGTAAGCAGAAAATGCTGCTTATTGAATACTGAATACCAATATGAGAAGCGCAGAGCAAGGCGATATGTTGAAAAGAACGCTAATATTTGCATATGTGTCTACTTAGGCGTTGTAGATGACTGTGCGCGTACGACTTTGAGAACTACGGGATTAAGATTTTAGGAGAGAAATGGGTGGGAAATTGAGGTTTAAAATTTAAAGCAATGAACTCGGACAGAGCAAGGCTGGAAAGTACTATCTAGATTTTCCATTAAAATTGATAAGATATAGCAATAAGAATCTTATCCATATCTATATCCAAGAGGCTGCATATTGTCTATTCAGATCTTTGCAAGTTGAACTTTACTTATCCAAAGTTTATAAATAACGATTTTAAGTTACATATACTGTATCACCTATCTATTATAGTGATTTTTTACCTGTCAACACAAAAGCCCATTGTTAAAATAAAGCTACTGAGCTTTCTCGCTGGATAACCCAAAAAGATTCTTTGAGCTTAATAAAACAAATAACTGCAAAACTGTTAAAATATGAGAGTTAACATTTTTTTAATAGGTTCAGGGCTTGAAACTCTAGATGTTGTTCAGTTATTTTTCTCCCAGTGCAACCAAGTATTCTACGAAACTGGTTAACGGCTTGCATGATATTTTATTAGCAGTCGACAGTTGTTTATTGTTTATAAATTGATATTGAATCACTTATAGCTAAGCTGTGTACTTAGTAGGTTCTCCAATCTAGTCTTAATAGTATTATAAGAGTATAATCATGCGTCACGTTCGTAATATGCCTTGAAATGGTTTCTGGTGCCGAATTACGTGAGTGTAAAAAGTGATTTCAAAGGATACTTGCCAACATCTTTCTCTACAAAATATCCCATTAGCAACTGATGTAGAGAAATGTCGCTATGGTGACGGGGATTGTATTAAAAATAACATCAATCAGCTCATAAGACGCTATCCTAAAGGTCTTCCGAAGTTGGGCATATCTCCTTTCAATGATTTCCGACCAGGTGATCTACAATTATTTGAGGCCCCCCAAGTTGGTAGTATGTGGTTGAATTTTAGGCTAATTAATCAAGTGATTAGTGGCTGTGAGAATGCAACCGTTACAGACGTGAGTGGCTTCCAACAGGATCCTACCAAGGCCAAATTGGAGATTGGGCTACGTATACCCAGACTAGTCCATAGATATCAATATAAGATGCAACTGCGCTGGCTGTCCATGGTGCAAACCAACACTACGGGACCCTGCTATGCGGAGTTCCAAAATGTTAGCCTAACGCTCAATTTGAAGGTGATTGTCAGATATAGACAGGAAAAGCGCTATCTAAAGATCTATGAATTGATGCCGCAACTTGAACTGGGACGGCCAGTTAAATGACATGGGCCGAAAAAGTGTAATTAATATTCTATATTTGCTGCAGCTTTTTTCTGGAATTGGGCGATTTATATCAACACAATTTGGATCTAACGCTTGCCGTGAATCGCGTTTACCGCGAAAACTGGCTGGAGCTCTGGAATGATATTGAGCCGAAAGTTTCGCCCAGCTTTAGCAGGTCGGGTGCCCAGCTGCTGAATCATATATTTGATACTATCTCATACGATGATATGTTTTTATAATAGTTAAGTCAATCTTGATGACTCAAAATTCTCAAGTACTATTATATTTTATGCTAATAAACCTGCTAGTTTTGTTATTATTGTTTACTGTCTACCTGGCAAATAGGGGTATATTTGGCAAAATGCAAAAATTTTTGCATGTGTGTTAACTTGTTTTAAATTTTGCTTTTCATAGTAGCTAGCAAATTTATTATCCACATATTTCTCTAAAAGTTCAGTATGTGCTGACACTTGACTCAAAATAGTTATATACTTCAGTCTCGAAGTTCTTTGATCGCCAATCAGTCCATAAGTCAGGACAAGCTCTGACAAAGATTCCTGAAGCTCTCCCTAAAAATGCACACGGAGAACAGGGCATCTAACAGTCGATAGCTGCCACTTTCACTTCCTATTATCTGTGTAAGGTGAATGGGTTTAGATTCTCAATGTTATCTACAGGTCTCATGCAGCCAAACAGGTTTTTAGTTTTAAAAAAACACTGTAACTGAGACTTGTTGCAAGTGCATATCAGACGTTAATTAATATTATTGTGTGAACTGTTGTGCTAACAAGTTCTTAAAGCATTATGAAGTGTTTCGTTGAAATATATTTAAAGATAACATTGCTGTGCCTCACGTGGAAGTCTCTTATCTGCGCTCTACAGATACGTAGGTGAGCTTGAAGTGTGTCAAGGTACCCAAAAATAACTTTATACCTGGACCATCCACAGCTTCAGATATCGAGAAATGCCATTTTGGAGATGGCAAATGCATTGCAAAGAGTACAAATCAATTTATACGTCGCTATGCCAAAGGTGATGCTAAAATTGGTTTACCGCCCTTCGATAATATTCAAGTGGACGACATCACACTCATAAACTCACCCGGGCCCCTTTGGATAAGCTACACGTTGAAGAATCAGGTTCTCAAGGGTTTTGAAAATGCAACTATCATATCTCTGTCGGGACTAGACCGCGAACCGGAACAAAATAAATTAGAAGTGAAATTGAAAATTCCAAGTCTCGCCATGCATGGCAACTACGAGCTCCGTGGGCGTGGCATTATAGTTTATACGAACTCAAGTGGTTCTACGAAATCGGATATGCAGAATGTGCGCATAACGATCACAATTAAGGGCTTCATCGAGTATCGCAATAAGAAACGCTATCTAAAGGTCTACGATATGGCACCAATCTTCGAACTGGATCGGTAAGCCATAACTGAAGTTCTTTCTGGAGCTGAGTCTTAAGTTCGCCTATTTTATAGTTGGATATTGTCGGCTGATAATCTATTTAAGGAGAACACCGATCTAACTGTTTTACTCAATCGCGTGATCAACGAAAAGTGGATTGAGTTTTGGAACGAAATCGAATCAACCATTTTGCCTGTCTATACTCGAAGCTTTGTCAATCTTATCAATAAGTTTGCACAAGCTATTCCCTATGATGATATGTTTTTACCGGATTGAAAGATTGAATGATGAAAGCTCGCAAAGCTGAAAGCATTTTACTTATGGTAATGCTTATCGATATATTGTATAGCTTCAAGAGTCAAGTACAATAACATTTGTGATAGTTTCTTCAATTCAAACTGATTGAAATAAAATTAATAATTTTTTTGGTACCATATACGATCAAAAATATTTCTACTCAAATTAAATTTTGAAGTTCGGCTGAACAATTACATAATTATTCTGAGATTAAAAGAAATTCTTATATATAATATATTTTCGGATAAAATATAATCTCTGTATGCAATAAATTTTTGCTGTGTACATAATTATTCTGCCATTACCGAATTTTCTCATAAAAATCCATATTTTTTGATAATAAATAATTTCTGTATGCAATAAATACTAGATATAAATTGTTGGAGATAAGAAACAATCTCTGTAAATATTAGATTTCAATTGTGTCTACCATTCCACACATGACCTTAATTTAATATAAAAACTTCTCCTTGTAGTTATATTATCTATATAAAGAGAAACCAACCCAAAGACACTGTGAAATCAGTGCTACCAGAACTGCCCACACTCAACGCCTTTCAATTCCCAGAGCGACTTTAATTTATTACGCTTGATCTTGATTAAAAGCGCACACCCGCAATTCTCCGCGCCCAAAGACCCTAAAAAGAATAGAATGGCAAAGTTGTGGAGAGAAGGGTCCACAGAGCCATAGCAAATCCAGTCGGGGGCAGTCAGACAGCCAATTATAGACAGTCAAAGTCGCGTAAAGATGCCAGAGTAAAGATCCACAGGCAAGAAAACTGAATGAATGAACGAAAAATGAAAATTATAATATGAAGAGAGCACATCAACAACAACAGCAAGAACAACATCAACTGCAATAAAGACATCAACAGTTCAGAGGCATCAAAGAATCAAGCGAGACGCTCACCACTAAAAGGGTGCTTATAGGTGGGTAGAGTGAGGCAGCTGGGCAAGTTATAAGATTTCCAAAAATAATATTAAAATTAGCAACGAAGCGCAACAAATGAGATTTTCAACCAAGTTGCAGTTGTACTTCCACATGCCCCGCTGCCATAGCCCATAAACTGAGCACAGAACACTGGGCACGGGCACGTCCAGACGTCGGAGAGGCATAGATCAATCAGTGTGTTGCCTGCCCCAGCCGAGCGGCAGCAGCAACAGTCGAACAGACAAACAGCTTAGTCCCAGTAATTAGGAATGATAAATGCTAAAAACGCACTGCACAAAGCAAGATACAGAAGCTAAAGCTTCCATGCGAAAGGGTTATAAATAAAAATGAAGAAAAAAAGAACCCAGAGCCAACAGCAAATTGGGCAATGTGTGCGCTGGTAAAAAAACGAAATGGAAAACTGGCGCATCAGTCTCATCAATAGGTTAGGTAAGGAAAGGCAATTAAGATTTTTGGGGCAGGCATGGCATATGGCAGAGGATGTGGGAGCTGCTAAGCAAGCAGGCTTAAGGTAGAGTTATGGCAGAGTAGAAGGGTGTGTCTGGGCAGCTTAAGTGGGCTTTCCACACAATAGATATTACGAGGGGGATAAGGTATATTAAAATAATGGGCATTATGCATATATATATATATATATATATATATATATATATATATATGGATATAGGGACGAATGTGCGAGTTAGGCATTCGGTCACATTTTAAAATAAATATTTGATAAATGATAAAGTGATGAAAATGTTTCCTTAGATTGAAAACAGTTTACACTTGCGTAGCTTAATATCCCGCCTCTCCCAAAGAAAAAACGTTAGTTAAATTAACCTACTAGGCAAGATTTTTATCTAGATTTTACCCACCATATACTTCCTGCTTTAGTAAGTGCTTTGAAGAGTTTCTTTCGCTGCTCGCACGCTCTACCTTGTACCGTTTGCTTTATATTTTATGAAAATATATGCACAATTTCCAATTACACTTTATTTCAAACAATTAACCAGTCCGAAATGCCCCACCCTCCCAGAGAAAGCACTGAAACATCGCATGGCCCAGCTCTAGCTCTGTTCTTCCCACCTGCCTCTAGCTTCCTGGCCCAAAGTTTGAGCTAATAATGTTAGCGCCATATTTGACCGCCGTGTTGGCGTTATCATGACTCGACCAGGCCAGTCCGAACCGGACCCGCACTGGCTACTGCCTGGAGGCAACAATGTTGGCTAGCCGCAAGGCTGGCCAGCAGGTGCAAGTGCTCGTATGTGTACATGTGGTCGCCAACAAGGGGGCGGGATGGTATTGGTGCGCATTTACAACATTTGCGGTCTGGCAGGGCTGCTTAACAGGGCATTTGCATTTTGCATTTGGCATTTGGCATGGCACGGAATCTCACGGATATGTGTCTATAACAAAACAATTAGAAACGACGACGCTCTGGCAAAGCCCTCGACGATTTGACGCTGATTTATGAGTGGCGCGGGCAGGCGGGTGTGGTGCGGGCGGGCTACTAAGTGCCTACAAAAACTCAAAGACAGGCACGTAGCAGCAGCAGCAGGCCGCGGGGATTAGTTCAGGCAGAAGGCAAATAAAAGAAAAACGCGCCGCACACACATAAAAAGCCAAGCCGAAAAAGTGCTTCGGTGAGGGGTGGTTTGGGTGGGGGAGTGGAGGGGGCTTGCTGTTGCTGGGTAAGCTAGTCGCTTGGTTTTTGGTTAAGTCACCCGTGGGGCATTGGGGCATAGTAAAATGCTAGTGAAACAATTATGCAATTACTTAATTTGATAGCCCAAGTGTGTGCCATCTCTCTGCATGCCTGCGCAGGCACCTCAACGGCCGCCATTGGACTGTAAATATTACGTATACGTAGCGTGGCCCATGTAGCTGGCTGCCATCTCCACTCCGTCGGCATTGCTTTGTGGCCTGTAATTGTTTTAACTGCCTTGTGCACGCGCTTTGTTTACACGGTACTGTGGCCAGTACCGGTCGCATTGCCTATAAGAAACTGCTTGGTTCCACTGCGACTCGGTATGTGCATGTCGTGGGTTTTTCCGCTGGCATTTATGAATTTGTGCCTGATATTTGCATTCAACTTGCATTACTTTTAGCCAAGAGCAGACATTGTTTGGGAAAGATATCCTAAGAACTGTCTTAAAGTTAGTTGAGGTTTAGGGAAAAAACTAAAATATCATTATCCAGCATACAATGGAACTGTAAACAAAATAAATATAAATATATAGTCAGATCAGGTAAATCAAATGTATATTGTCTGCTCTGGGAATTAAATATTATCACTGAGATTTCTGGAATAAATATCTAGAAACAAAGACCTCTCGGAGACATAAAGAAAAATTTAACAAACAAAAATTGCAAGTAAAAGTCAACATTTAGATGCCTTATCCGAAATGTTTACCATAAAGAGCTATAATTCCTGATATACAGGCTGCTTTCTAGTACCTACTGTGTGCTATAAACTGAATTCCTATTGGAACACGAAGTCTAAAAGTTTCTATTGGATTCACTGAGTACTTGCTATTGGCATAAGTCTCTGCTATATACACATTCTGACACTGAGCTCATCCTTTTTTTAAATGTCCTTGGGGTCCATAAGTAGCGAGCCATAACTTGCGCTTCAAGCGTGCTGTAAAAAATGGGTCGCAGAAAGGGTAGCGAAAGAGTTAAGATGAATAAGTTGTTATTATCATGGCTAAAAATATGTCATACGCCACGTGTGTTTGGCTTTGTGTGTGTGTGTGTGCGAATTACCCACTTCTGTTTCATGTTGCCACGTTCCGGGTCCGTCATCTGGTGTGCAAAATTTCAGCAGCAATCAACACCTCGACGCTTGGGCAAAAAGAAAAGAGGCAGTGGTTTAGGTTAAGTGCTAGAAATTGTTAGAAATCATGGCTAATATAAATCATCTTGGCAAGCAGCTTTGCATGTTTAAGTGTCATACATAAGGCACAATATGAGTGTCATCGCCCCCGCCGGCGCCTCTCGCCTATCGCCCAACCTGCCACAAGTGGGTATGGCATTGGGGGCAGCAGTCATAGCTGCGAGACATAAACACTTGAAGCTCAACCCTTTCTGACTTTGGCAAATGTGACGCCAACTAAAAGCGTCAACGAGCAGCTCCTAGCTGTGCGCACCCTCCCACCACCCAACCACCGCCTGCTCACCTGGGCGCACCTTAGCGTACCCTGGACACATATACACGTATATGAGTTTGTTTGCTTTGTAGCTCAACTTCTGTTTTTGTGTTTATTTTCGTTTGGATTTACTAAAGCAATTTTCTTTGTTGTTCCTTAAAGGCAACGCTCAGTAGCATAGTGTATATGTGTATGTGTGTCTTTGTGTATTTGGTCAATGTAAACACACATTTGACATTTGCTATATACAAACACATACATACATATTTTTATTTATTTTTTGTGCAAATAAATTGTTGCAACAGCTGTTGGCATATGCCTCGTTTTTCACCTTGCGGCAAGCTTCATGCAACAACATTTTTGCAATCCCAACAAAACTTGAGACCAATTTTTTGTGATATATAACAATTTTTAATTAAGATTGATTCAATTAAGCTCTTGTTGTGGAGCCTGCTTTTGCATCTATATCTGGTATTTACTCTTCAACTATGTCGGCCGCATTTAGTATGGAATTTTCAATTAAAATGGCAGCAATTGAATAAAATGAACCTTCAAGTCTGCATTAGAAACCAAAAATAATAGAAAACAACTGATTGAATTTCAGTTCATTTTAAATACATGGCATTAAGGCAGGATTTGGGCAAATGTTTTGTATACATTTTGAACGACATTTCTTAAGTTGGAAGAAGGGCTTCATTTGTTTAGAAATTTCTATGGATAACGGAATTTATTCATAAAATTTATCAATATTTCTGGATACATATTTTCAATAAGCATCTTTTTAACTAAAGATAGATTCATATTTGAACTGTCTAAGACTTTTTTTAGTGTCAGAAATTCTCAAGATCTTCAAGATGCCAGCTGATATTAAAATTCAGTTGCCGATTCCGACATCACTTTGACATTTCCTTTGATGTGAATTAACAATGCGTAACTACAGTTAAAATTCACGGGGTGTCTGTGACACCTGCTTGTGTTTATTTCCAAACACACGCACACACATACATATGTACAGATACACGCATTTGGCATGTAAGCTCTCGTGCCGGCGCTCATATAAGAATTAAGCCATAATGCTTTCAAGTGCAAAAACTTGACAAACGCAACATGACAAACATAAATAACCAAAACGAGGAACGAACGG